CTTAAATCATCTATTGTAGACTGGGACTTAGGATGTGTTCGAAAATGGATTTAGTTACTGCCAGTGAAAACAGTATAGTTGGTAGCAATGAAAATTACTGGTGCTGCGTTTTTTGCACGCCAGTAAAGTCAGTAAGGCTGGGTCTACATTGGATGTCGTAAGTCGTGTCGGAAGAAATTGACCAATCACAGTTCATTATTCGACTTACGACATCCAATGTAGACCAAGCCTTACTGACTTTACTGGCGTGCGAAAAACGCAGCACCAGTAATTTTCATTGCTACCAACTATACTGTTTTCACTGGCAGTAACTAAATTCATTTTCGAACACATCCTTAAGCCCGCTGCAGACGATGCTATTTTTCCTGCTGGATTGCTTGCGATTTAGTAAATTAAGCCCGCTGCAGACGATGCTATTTTTCCTGCTGGATTGCTTGCGATTTAGTAAATTACTATCATTGCACCACTCAGCATTTAGGATTCCTAGTAATTTACTAAATTGCAAGCAATCCAGCAGGAAAAATAGCATCGTCTGCAGCGGGCTTTACTATCGTTGCACCACTCAGCATTCAGGATTCCTAGTAATTTACTAAATCGCAAGCAATCCAGCAGAAAAAATAGCATCGTCTGCAGCGGGCTTTAGTTGAGCCTCCTTATCTCTATTCTTCATGACCATGGTGTAATAATCTGTCAGACACCGAGAACCGCGACGAGGAGGTTCGGTGTCGTTTGCCAAAATCATCCGGCGTTAATTAACATCGCGAAAAATGTCGGCGATGTTGACCGCCGATTGGTTTCCCCTGGGACGGGACGTGTACTTTCGGTAAGTGTACTCGGAAATTTGTGTACATGCCCCGCGAAACTGTTGTGTCTCGTGCGACAACAGGACTCAGCGTATAGCTTTTCACGACGCGTTATCGATCTTTGTTGCAGGAAATTCGAGCTGTACCCGATATCCTTCCAGCACGAAATTTCCAGCAACAATTTGTTAGTGGCGGCTCCGTACGGCGGCTCCATCGCCGTAACGAGAAACCCCAAGAAGCTCGTCAAGGTCCAAGGGGCCAACAAGCCTTTGATATTACTGTACACATCGTCGGGAAGACTGACAGCCAAGCTGCAAGTGAGATCTCTTTAATTCCAACGACCCTATGACCCATTTGGCTTACATTCATTTCTTAATCTCTGCTTAACTTAGTGGAGCAGTGGACAACTGATATCGTTCGGCTGGTCCCAGCAGGAAGAACTGTTGTGCGTGCAGGACGACGGCATGGTTCTCATATACGACATGTTCGGAACTTATCAGCACACCTTTAGCATGGGAAATGTAAGCCGGCTGAAATATAAATCTGTAACGGATGAATCTTGCGATACACATTAGTCTTCTTCTTCTCAAGGCAGCCAAAGACACCAAAGTTGTCGACGCAAAGTTCTTCACGACATCTAATAGCACTGGGATAGCCGTCTTGACGTCTACCAATCGGATATTTCTAGTGAACAATGTGTCTGAACCTAAAGTCCGGCCAATCACCGATATGCCAAGTAAGTATAATAAATGTATGTGTAGGTTTCCGGAAGTTTCATTGTCGTCGTCACTTTTACTTTACCAGGATACGGTCCAATTGATTGCTGGTACATGGTGCATTGCGACAGGGAGACGCAAGTGATTTTGTCAAACAGAGAAGGAATATTTGTGATTCATCAGTCCCACCAGAACACTTATCAATTTGTAAGCGTACCATTGGATAATTCATCATGTTATAATTCGCCAGGGTTGGGAGGTAACTCGTTACTTGTAACGAAGTTACAGTTAAAGTTGCTTCTTTTGATAACACTAACTTAACTTCGTTACTTTCTCTCTATCTGTACTGTAACTTAATTCGGTTACATTTTTTTTCGATAACTAGTAACTAATATAATTAGTTACATCAGTAGTTACTTTATATATATTTTTGACCTCCACAGATCGCATCAGGCCTTGCATTTGCGCATAAACGCCTTTGTCGACGCTTTACAATTCAAATGCAGATTTGATATTTTTATTTTCATTGCGAGAAACTGCACAGTAACGATTCGTTACTTTTTTAGTAACTGTAACGCGTTACTTTTCAAAATTGACAACTTATAAAAAACTAATTACATTTTTAGCGAAAAAAACTGTAACTGTAACTAGACACTTTTATAAAGTAACTTTCCCAACCCTGTAATTCACTTGACGTGAACTCGCACGCACTTGAAAACCAACGTGTGATTCAAATTACTTAATTTTCCTCTTAGAACAATCTCTTCAGTAATAAGATCAGTAACGTCATAGCGATAGCTGTGTCTAGCAACAATCGACACGTCGCACTTTACTCCGATACTGGACACCTGTACATCGGTTCGATAGACTTCAGAGAAAAGTACTGCGAATGTTATACGAATATGAAGGAACCTCTTGCAAATATAGCTTGGTTAGTGAAGACGGTCGATCGACAATTTAAATTAAATTTAATGAAATTTTAGCGGACGATAGATTGGGATCTGACGAATATTTGCAGGTGTGGCACGGAAGCTGTAGTGTGCAGCTGGAACAGTACGATAATGGTGGTGGGGCGTACAGCTGATACTATAGTATACAATTATGACGGTCCGGTACACTTGGTCGCCGAGATTGATGGAGTACGTGTGCTGTCGAGCAGTTCCCACGAAATGATACAGAAAGTACCGAACGTCGTGCAAAGGATATTCAGAATCAACTCGACAGACCCGGCCTCCTATCTCCTGGAAGCATCTAAGCAGTTTCAGAAGAAGAGCCACAAGGCCGACAGTTATATAGATTTAGTGAAGGACAAGCTGGACTCGGCGATAAGAGCGTGCATTGACGGTGCGAGTCACGAATTCGATTTCGAAACGCAAAAGATTCTGATGAGAGTAAGTTGAAGTAAACGCGCGTTTGCCGAGAGGTCGACGTTATTTAGCATTGCCAATTCTTCGTTTCAGGCTGCCAAGTTTGGAAAAGGATTCAGCAAAACGATCGATTCCGAGTATTACGTTCAAATGTGTCGGATTTTGAGAGTGTTGAATGCAGTGAGGCATCCTGCCGTGGGCATTCCGTTAACATATACGCAGTATCCTTTTGTATTCCGTTGATACGCATTGTGTGAGATCCCTTCGTGTGTTCTTCGTATCCTTTTTAATAATTGCTGCAATCTATAGAAATCTTTAACGATATTAGATTTAATATTCTCACGAATCAAGTGCTATTAGACCGGCTGGTGGCACGAAGGCATTATTATTTAAGTATACAAATATCGCGCCACTTGCAATTACCCGAGATTGACGGGGAAAGTAGAATATTAGCACATTGGGCTTGCTACAAAGTAAGATAAATAATATTTAAAAAGACGAAATTTTACGAATTCTTTACAAAAATACATTTTCTTCTTGTACTTCGTAGGTGAAACAAACGCAGTTAGATAAGGAACAAATAGCAGAGGAGATCGCTGATAAATTGGGATACGCTCCTGGTGTTTCGTACAGCGAGATCGCAAAAAGAGCGGCGGATTGCGGACGAAAACAATTGGCTATTAAAGTAAATTTATTAATTTATACAGATATATTGAATATTTTGTGTACCTTTTATTGCGGGGAATTTAATTTATGTTAACGTCTTTTCAGTTAATCGACTACGAACCACGTGCGCGTCAACAAGTACCTTTGCTGTTGACACTTGGCGAGGAGCGTGCTGCCCTGCACAAAGCCGTGGAAAGCGGCAATACGGATTTAGTTTATACCGTCATTCTTCATCTCAGGGAAAACATGACTCTCGGAGATTTCCAAGTAAGCGGATAACACTTTGTTCCACGCTCGGATAGTCATTTCTAACTGATTGTTTCTTATGAAAAATTCTTAACGCAGATGTCTATAATGCACTGTCCTCTAGCAATGGCATTATACATCAAATATTGTCAGAGCCACAATAGAGAGACATTGCGTGATATTTACAATCAATACGACGACTTCCACTCGCAAGCGGTGTGGTTTATCACCGAGAGTTATCAACGCAAGGTTAGAACAATTTGTGCAATTTATAATTCAAGGTTTTTTTTTAAATAACATGGGGACCAAACAGGTAAAAGCATATTGCACATTTTTAGAATACAATGTCGAGAGATGCGTTACTGCAGTCTGCTCAGGAAAATTTCAGATTAGCCCGTAATGACACTAATGCATCGTTAACGGAAGAACAGATAAAACTGTTAAAGTATCAGAGATCTTTAGAGGACACGTTACACGAATCGATCGTGGGAAAGCCTCTGCACGATACCGTGAAAGTATTATTATTGCGCAACGAATTGAAATTAGCGGATAAACTACGGTCGGAATATAAAATACCAGATCGAAGGTATATTAATTTTTATAACTTTCTGCTGTCTCGTATTATACAAAATTATATTTTAACACAGATATTGGTGGCTAAGAATACAATGCCTGGCAGAGCAAGGTTTGTGGAATGATTTGGAAAAGTTTTCCAAAAGTAAAAAGTCGCCCATTGGTTACGAGGTAACGATAGATGACAAACTTGCATTATTTTTACATAATTGTATGTCGTTCGGTTGTCAGTGTGGTGAAATAATTTTTTAACGATTTCCATGTTAAAGCCGTTTATAGATGAATGCCTAAAGTATAACGAAAAACTGGAAGCGAGGAAATACTTACCCAAAGTGAAAGATGATCTTAAAGTAAAGTATCTAGTGAAGTTGAAGTAAGTAGCTAAAACATATACGATTTACGACGTAAACAAAATGTATGAAACATACCTAAGCGTAAATATTGTAATTTTGCAGCTTGCTTAGCGAAGCGGCGCAAACAGCGTACGAGCAAAAGGACGCTACGGCTCTCACGTTTGTGCTGGCACAATGCGGATCGTCAGACAGACAATTCATAGACAAGATCAATGTGTTACTAGCTAGTCTTAAAAATTAAGGTTTCGTCCACTCGTTTTGCACGATGCATTTATATACAATTCAAATGACGTAATATTCGACAAGAATAGTGGTCTTAAAGTAATTTTACAGATCAGTAAACATCAAAGACGTAATGTACATAGATCAATAAAATAGTAAATTGTTTATTTTAATAAGAAATATATATAGCTTGCTTTCAACTGCTCAGACCTTCCGTTATAATTTGTACAAAAATGTGAATGTATATTTGTTGCGCAAAATAGTGGTACTTGTAACTGAATTCTGTACATTTGTATTACTTTACAACGCTGATATGTATATACAATACAAGTAGTATATACTAAACCTGAGTATTCCCATTACTATGCCAAAACTCGTCTAATTGCGATAATTATATTTATATATAAAAAATAAAAAATGCTTTACAGCTTGAAACAAGCTGATCAACTAACTTCTGTGGACCATATAAACTTTATATGCTCCTCAACAAGATCTCGTACGATTAATTGTTCAATTTCATCACCATTGGCTAATTGTTCGTTTGTAAGAGATAGGACGTAATCAGTCTCCTTGTTCACAATTATCACTTGTTGCTTTCTAGTTTGTAACATGTTTGCTATTACAAGCTGAAAGACGAAATATAAAGAAATTTAGATATAGCTTAGAGAAAAGTCAAAACCGGACATGCGTCACAATAATAGCTACTTACATTATGATGATACTTGTTGAGAGCAGTTCTCGCCTTGGAAATCAGCAAGTTTTCATCGGTTTCTAATTTGAATGAAACTACAAATGCTTTTGGTACCCACAGGCTCGCTATCGGAGTTAAAATCTTTGGTACTAATTGAAGAGATATATTTGGTGGTCCGCTCGAGGAAATCTTGTGGACTGACTGAAGGAAATTTACATATAATAATGAAGTAATGGAATACATTATAATCGAGATAGATTTGAACAACGTGTTTACCATCTCGCTGGAAGGAATGTAAAAATCCGAGACCGCTGCCGCTAAATACAATATAGCTTTGTTCTCCAGGGGCGCTAGTGCTTGGCAAGCTGAACGAAGCATCCAGAGATATTCGGAGAGAGTCGTAAAAGTGAGCTGCAGCAATTTGTCCTGGTCAAACGCCTCTCTATACTTTCGTAGCACCGCTGCTACCTTCTGCGTGTGTTCTGGTGACACTGTAAAAAGTAAATGTACACTAACCGTCCACCTAGCTGCGTACGAGTGTACATCGTTAATTATTCTTCGCAGCTCACCTGTGATGACAGGATTCTCATTATCATCTGATAATTGAAGTAAATCCAAAAATTTCTGACCTACAAAGTGTCTCGAGAATGGTTCCAGAGATTTGACTCTGAAAACATATATAACACACGTGTTGTATTACATTTACATTCATGTTATGTAACTGTTACTTTGGTGTTTGCTGGGATGCGACGAACGTTCCTTTATATTTTCAAGGGAACGTTCGTCGCGTCTCAACAAACACCAAAGTAACAGTTACATAACATCAATATAACGTCAATGTAATAAAGTATAAATAAGGAATACAGGATCCGTACAAGTGTAAGTACAAATAGGCTACAAATTTAACATAGAATAAAGCTAAGCTTAGAATTGTTAAATTTAGGTTTCAAATACAAGTAAACTAAGTAAATGAAGCAATTAGACATACTAGTCACAACGCGCAGGGCTGAAAATAGGGAGAGAATGAGTTAAGAACATATTGTAAACCAGGTCTACTTCTTGACTGTAAGCCGAAGCTAATAAATTACTAACTGTAACATCAATGTCATATATTGTTACTCCGGCGTTTGCTGGGACGGGACATTCACCTGTGCATAAAAATCACCGCGTATCCATGCTCCAAGAAGTATTCCGCTGAAATGGAGCCCCTCGTGCCCGCGCTGAAGTTGTCCACGAATCTCACCGTGTTGTGCTCCAAGGGCACCGTCGTACCTCCACTCTGCAACGCCACGAGTTAGAACGAGTCGCAGAAAAAGGGTCGCAAAAGGCCCAAGTCTTGGGAACTCACCGTCACCAGGACCACCTTGTTGCCCGTCTCGAAGTGCTTCCTGGTGAACTCCCTCAACGCCTGTTCGTTCTGCACCAGGTCCTGAGGTGGTGGGTGCTTCGCGTAGAAGTCCTCCCATGTGGAGCCCATCGTGGAGACCATCGCGTAGACTCGCGGCTCGGAAGACAGTGCCTGCGTAAAGCGGAATAATTTCGCGAATAAAAAAGAAGTGAATAGAAAAAAATCACGGAAATGCTCGACACACGTATATTGTACGCGCGTACACGTGTTACGTAACAAGGACTCTCCTAGTCTCGCGTCAACGTCGTCGAGTATATTGTCATTTGTTGCACGTTGCCGGCGACATTTCGTAAACGTGCCCGTCCGAGGTAATTTCGCGCCGAGACGTGCGAATTGCGGTCCGCGAATAAAACCGTCCAATTCGACCGAGAGCGGCAAGAAGGGCACAGGTCACTAACCTCGATGTGCGCCGAGCCGTTTTCTACGAAGGAATGGGACACGCGTTCTGGAATTTGCCGGAGGAGCCGGAATTATTCCATTCGTCCTAGAAAAAACACACTAGAGGCCTAGGAAATAGTTAGACAATCGAAATTTTCCGAGAGGCTCCGTAACACGTGACCGCCGACCAATGTTCAGTCGTGGGCATCGGTCGCGAAATGAAATTAACGTCTCTGTACGTGATACGTAATTGTTGTCGCCCCATAATAAATGATACACACTCACGTGTTTCGATTTCCACGCCTCTTTTCTCGAGGACCCTGCCTCGCGGGAAGGCGAGCACGAGTCTTTGGAACACGACGCGAATCCGCCGTATTGTTCCCACACGCATAAGCAAAGAGAAAAATGCGATAATGTCGACAATGTATTATCTCTGTTACATTTTGACATGCTGATAAGTTTGATAAGCGAGAAAATTGTCGCTGCATACTTCTTCTTTGTTATTGGCTCCCAGCTCCTTGAAGTGGAGCTGATACGGCAATCGCTGCACACGTGTAAAGTTATTTCCATTACAAGTTTGTTCACGTAACAAGCCCTCTGTGAGACTCGATAACTCAGACAACGCAAGACAATCCTATATGAATATTTTAGGAATATTCTTAAAGTATATTTGGAATATTCCATAGGTCATTCTTATATATTTATCTTACGCTCGTGAAACATTCGACTGGCGCTACTATAAATCTTTTTCGAATGTGAACAGAATAATCTATCGAATATAGCGTGTCACAGGTTTCACTGCCTTTTGCATAAGATAAGTGTATTACACAATAAACAACGTGCAATACATAAACTCGATGAATATTACAAAATTGTTCTGAACGAATATTCTGAAAACGTTCTTCTTTGTCATGATTATACGGCTTCTAATTGTAAACAATCTATGTATACTTGTAGAATATTCGATTGAAATATTTTGAAAGTAAGAATATTTGCACTCCAGAAGAATATTCATAGAACTATGTGTGCTATTGGGTAGCTATGCAGCCGGTAGAGTGAGAAAGAGAAAAGAAAGAGCTAAGAGGTGCTTTCCAGCAAGAGACACAGCTTGACACGGTGTAACGTGGCGAATCTTGTTTCATTCTTCTTTCTTCTTCTTGCTCTTATTATTGGCACTCGGCTCAAAGACACTGAGCCGACACGGCCACGTCGAACCAATAGACTTGGTATTGCTTGGAATATAGTAAATTGAACGATGCAATGGCCCGGTAACCGGGCCACACGCGGGATGATGCAATCCCGCAGGATCAAAAATTTATCTTCCGTCGGAAGACGTGTGAACCGCTCGACGGCCCAGACGGAACTTTTTTTCATTCTTCTTTAACAATGGCAAACAACAAAGAGCACCCACTGTCGCCGGAAAGCACCTTGTTACACAGGCTGCGGTCGAGCTGTCGCTTCAAATGCTTCAAAGTATTCTTCTTCTCCTTTCTTTCAGAAAAGATAGAGAAGAGAAACACTTGGTACATTCGTAGCCAGTGTCTCCTACGTACGTTGCTGGAAAGCAACTCGAGAGCTACAGAGCCAAAATCTTGCGGAGCGCAGAAATAAAACTCTCGCAAGATAATGTCTAAAGCTATCGTTAATACAATAAACGCAATAGGGAGAACGCACACTTCCTGTATGAATATATCGCTTACACGATACGATTTATTAAATATTGAACCTCCTCTTCAAAATTAAATTACATGATGTATATTCAATATCGAAACAAATTGCTCCTTCTGTTAATTAGGACTGCTGCACTCCCGTTGCGAGACACGCAGCGCTGCTCAGGGCTGTGGGTTTTTAGAGGTAGCGATTTGGAGTAACAATTTATCCCTATAACAAATACTAGGTTTGTGTGGCGCGGCTCAATACTCGGGCGCCTGGCTCTTGGCGTTCTTCAAGTCCTCCGTCGTCGCGTAGAACTGCAACAAAAAGACGAGCGTGAGCGCGTACCGGAGTCGCCCTCCGAACGATCGATCGTTCTAAACGCCCTTCAAAACTTTCGACGATCGTGCTAAAGCGCCAGAATTCTACACTCTCAAAAATAGCGGTGTGATCTTTCGCCATATTCACGTAGTTGAAGAAGTCCGTGCGAATTTTAACAACGGTACTGTAGAAAATCTTTCGCAGCGACAAACCAGGCGTCAACTTTGACGCTACACCGTTTTGTTTTCACGACACGCGACGCGATCGCAATGTTAATCTCACATCGACGAGGTGAGAATTATATAAACACCCGAGTGGGTCTTCATTTCACACCAATGCAGGTCAACTTTAATCTCAGCTTAAATTACTTCTTCTCCTTTTCCAACTCGTAAAACTAGTGAAGGATACAAAGCAAGTTGAACCGAGATTAAAGTTAAACTGCGCTGGTAGAAACGGAATATAAGAACGACATTTATAATCTCGTACGCCGCCTCGACACGCGCGTGCACTCGAACGCGCATTCTGTGCACGCGTACGTTGCACGCGCGTGTGTCGAAATGGGTTTTTTTTTACAGGGCACGCAAAAATTATAAATAGAAATCTGTGTCCTGAATGCCGACGCGAGTTGCTAGTCGCCCACGGCGGGCGGCGAGGTACAATCGATTCGCGCTCAGCACCTTGTACTGCTTGTCCTTGTAGTCGTTCCACGGCTCGGCCTCCCTCTTGTTAAACCAGGAGACGTCGGGGCTGCGCGTCGCCAGCCGTAACGTGTACATGAACGCGCCGCAGCCCCCCAGCACTATGCAGAAGTACAGCGGGTACAGCTGGAAAAGAGAAAAAAAGAGCGAGCGTTGAGCATTGCCTGGCGATGCCGCGCGGGCGCGGAGTAATCTGGCGAGTTCTCGCGTGCTCACGGCCGGGTGCTTCTTCAAGGTCGTCATGGTCGTCCCCTGCATCTTCATGATTGCGCCGTTCGACGGGACGATCCGGTGCGGTGCGATCTCTCTCGCTAGAGCGACGTCTACGTGCCTCCGCGCACTGCTCTCCGCCAGTGATGTTAGCTGTGCCGCTTTCTGGCGCATGCGCACTGGAATAGCAGTGAAATCCAGTAACGTATATATGATGAGGGAGATGAACACTGACAGTTCTGGCGGGATTTGGGATAGCAGGAAGGTTAATATCCGTATTCATAGTCGTTCCTCAATTCTCAAGGTTAGTCTGTCTTTGTCTCGCTACTACGTTTTACCATACGCGAGACAAAGACAAACTACCCTCGAGAATTGAGGAACGACTATGAATACGGATATAAGTGTGTGGGATGAAAATGTAGTAATGATAAAAAGTAATATACATGGTTGGCTTTCCATTCCGAAGTAAATAAAGCATTTTGTATAGCATGTAATGTCAGCATTAGATGTTGTAAGACAGATTTGATAAAGCATTCACGAACGGCTAAACATAGAGATAATATTAAAGGTTAAAACCTCGAAAACGTTAATAATAATGTTAACGTAGTTTCTCATGATTTACATCTTTTTATTCACAATTAAAAAATTTTTATATAATTTTTATAGAAGCATCAAAGTAGGGTTTCTACAGGACCTGTATACATCCTGTTTTGATACTGCACTGCTGCTGTACTTGAACGCGCATGCGCCAGAAAGCGGCACAGCTAACATCACTGCTCTCCGCGGTCACGCCGAGTTGCGCAGATCGGCGGGGGCCGAGATACCCACCCGGCGACTGCGCGATAAGAAGAGGCGGGCTCGACGCGCGATAAGAAAATCACACCGAGCGCGACTCACCCGGGCGCTAAACTCCAAGATCAAGTATTATGTAAAGCTCGGGCGCGTTTCGTGCAACGCCTTTGCGAAGAGTTTATATATCTTTGGAACTTTGGAAAAGCGTTCGTTTTCGTTGACTTGGTCGTCTTTCATGCGAACCGTCCGCGGTACGCGATTGGCTCGCGCCCGACGATCGCGGAGGGTCCGTCGGCCGTTGCGCGCCGGCCTTGACGCTGATCGACGAGGCGGCGGGATCGATTTCCCGATCCACGGCCGACTTGCCTGGATCGACATCATCGTGCGACGTATCCAATGGCGGTATTTCGCTGGTAAAAGTGAATTTTTCCGCAGCTTTCGGGTATAAATATAAATGTTGATCTCAGAGCTGCGCGGGGACGCGCCGGAGTAACGGCACGTTTTCGTCGTCGCCGTCGCCGCCCGCTGGTCATGTAACGATCCCGGACACGTCGCCGTTGATACGCGCCCAGGCCCGTCTGAATTGAATGTCGGGGTGCCCGCCGATGTCACGTCCAGAATATCCCGCCGCAGCGAGGCCGAGCATGAGCCGCCGTTGAGTACCGCGTCACCGCCGAAACAGTCCGCGTATATCCGCCCGAAGGATGGGTTTCTCCACGAGCCTGCAGGGTCAGGCGTCGCACGAGGCGCTGCTGGCCCGCCAGGACACCGAGATCAAGCTGCTGGAGACGATGCGACGTTGCCTCACGATGAAGATCAAGTCCGACCGGGAGTACGCCTCGACCATTTCCTCGCTTACCGTCCAAGGAAAGAAGATCGAGCGCAACGAGGACCTCGTCGGCAGCCTCATAGCGCAGGTGGTTACTTTCTTCTAGGTGGCCTCTCTCTCAGCGTTTCGCTCGGGTACTAACATCTATTTTTGCAGAGCTGGAAAGACATAATGGACTCGATTGATCAAACGGCCAAGTTGATCAAGCAGCAGGCGGATTCTATTGAAAATATCATTGTGGAGCAGTTGAGTACATTGTACTCGGAACGAAGGAGAGCCAGGAAGCTGTACCAGGAGGAGCAGAATTGGCTGAATAATCAGTTTCAGCAGGTGAGCGAGCTAAATGGTGAAAATTTTGATAAATCTCGGTGTGCTCGGCTCATTAAAATTCTCCCCCCTATTTAATTTAAAGCTGATGGACGATGTAAATAGGAAAAAAATGGAGTATCAGAAGAATCTGGAGATGTACAAATTGATGAGGTCACGATTCGAAGAGTATTACGTCAAGTGTAAGTGCCACGTGCGACGATTGCTTTGAATCGCTTCTAAGAGACCATCCAGACAAATTTGCATAGGCATATGTGCAATGAAATCGAGTGGCCTACTTCCTCATGCACGCACTTGTGACCCAATCAGATTCCTTATGCGTACACTCTGAAAAATAATGGTGTGACCTTTCACCACATTCGCGTAGGTGTGAATCTTAACGTCGATATTGTAGAAAATCTTTCTCGCGCCGACAAACGCGGTGTCAGCTTTGGTGCTATATTGTTTTGTTTCCGCGACATGTGATGTGATCGCATGTGTAACACCATACTTGATGTAAAAATCAGAGTAGCGCTATATCTCACACCGCAACAATGTGAATTTGCCACACTAACCGAGCAATGTTAATTTCACATCGATAAGGTGAGAATCGAGGGGGAAACCGCTGAGGGCATTGTGGTGTACAGGTTCGCGGCGTTACTGGGTATTACCGGGCGCTGCTACACTGAAAAAGAATCTGATCGATTCAACCGGTCGTCCGTTAGAAGATGGACGGATCTGAATTCCTTCGGGATTTACTAGATAGTGAAGTCTAGCAAACTTCTGGTTATGAAATATCGAGCCCTATCGTGCTAACTAGAAATTCTGTTTGGTTCAGCCAAAATACATTCTATCATACGTGTCTTGTTGATACAATCAAAGCATTTTTTGGGCATTGCTGGGGCATTGTAAAGATAAGATAAGGTAAAATAAGATAATAAGATAAAGTAATGCCCACTGGGAGTTAGTGGGTATTGGTGTACAAGCTTTTAGTCAGCGGTTTCCCCGGTGAAAATTATATAAACACCCGAACACCACTGGTGAGATTTCATATTCATATTTCTTAGAGTGTATGTACGCTACGCAAGTTCGTCTGGATAGACCCTAATCTGTTGTACATGCGTAATAAGAAAACGGTGCAGTAACGTAACTTGTGCAGCTGGTAGAGGTGGCCGCAAGTTAGATGAAGTAAGAGAAAAATATCAGAAGGCATGCAGGAAGCTTCATCTGACGCACAACGAATACGTACTGCTGCTAGGCGCTGTGACGGAATGCGAGCTCGATTTAAGGACTTGTTATCTGCCAAGTTTGCTTCACCGGCAACAGGCTATTCATCAAGAATTCATAACTTCATGGTGAGTTACTTGCATTACAAACAGCCTTTGCACGATGCCCGTGTGGCACATTCCTGGCAAAGGTTCCGACTTGTAGCGCGTTAAGCAGGATTAATGTTTTATCTTCATTTTCCTACTTGCATGCAACTAGAAATGGAGAAGGTAAACACTTGATTGCAGAAATTAACGATTATTGTCTCACGTGTGTAATATATGCAAGTTCCCGCGATTTTCTAGGAAAGGAATACTTCAGGATATTGTTAAGTATACAGATTTGACAACAGAGAAATTTGTAGAGATCCATGTAAGAGTATTGAAGGCAGTCGATAATATTAAGCCTATCGAAGAGTATAGAGATTTTATTGGAAAGCACAAGTGCGTATGCAACATTATAATTATTTTTGTATATAAAATATATATTTATTTTAATGCAAGTACTGCAAATTCCGGTGCCAACGTAGAACTAGGCCAGCATCTCCGATCAGATTTACATTCGACGAGAACCTCGTGGATGACACCTCAGGGAAATTGTTGCCAAATAAGCTGACTGTTGATAACTTGACTATAGATTGGTTGAGAAGCCGCCTCACGGAACTCGAAACTTCTCTAAAAGCCACGCAGCAAAATCGACAGAGCCCGCAATTCTCGCAGGAAAATAATAGCGATTCTAGGTACAAGTCTTTTATTATTGATTAACGCATCAACGCATCAATGTTTACAATCGAGTTCGACGTTCTCAAATGTCTTTTCTTACATGCCGTGACACCAGGATGTCTATCTTGGACTATTCTCGCGAAAGAGAAGAGCTGAGATTACGTTGTCAAGAGAAAAAATTACAAAGACAAGTGGATGTCATTAGAGGCGCTCTCAACGAACTGGGCTGTGAAGAGCTACCTTCGGGTTGCGATCTTTCCATGGAAGGTTCTTTCACCGAGTCACCTGCAATTAGTAAAGTAAGTAAAATGAAAAGAAAACGAATTTTCTTTGTTAACAAAAGAAATGTAAATTTTGTTAATTATAATAGAACTAGTATCATGTTCCTGCAAGTATTCCTTGATATTAAGAATGTTTTCCGAAATGTTTAGGTTTCTATTACAATCAACCCTCAGAGTATCTACAAAAGTTAATTTGTAACCGTGATGATAATGTGCAAAAGTATTATTATATTTGTCTTTTCTCATTGAATGCTGAATTGCTTGGAGTTATTCAAGTTAGTTAGCTCTAGTCCCCTTTACAGAGAAATACAGTCGCAGACAACGGTCTGTTCACACTGAGGAGAAATCAGCGGTTCATGACAATATTAAAATCACCCTTTAAATCCCTGCCGGCAATTAACAACTCGAAAAACGGAATGATTAGGGCAAATAGCGAAGGGCCTACAGCTAAAGCAATCAAAAATATCCCCCCTGTTGTACGTGTTACACTTTATTCGTGTGATATCTGAGTGCTCGTTCGTGTTTCCTGCGTCCAGTCGCAAAGCGATAAAATGTTTGATATGCCGCTACATAGATCTCGTATACGACAAATCTCTCCCAGCTTTTGTAGTGTAATACGTTATTCCATCGTTATACTGTCACGCAGATGTAGGCAGCATCTAGTTTCCGACCCGATATTTTTTAATTACCAAAATTAACGCAAGGCTCGCAAACAACCTTGTCTTGCTACCATATTTTTGAGGACAAAATTATGGGTACATACTTGTTGCAATTAGAAAATGTTGCATGGATAATGAGCATATCATTTAGAATATATTTTATTAACGACGAATTATGGTCCATGTTGTGCATGAGAATGATTTTTTTTGCACTAACAGCTTTACATTTGTACAGAAATAAGATGAGCATATATATATGTGGCAGTGATTGAAATTGCAAAATTATTATTTATTTTACCGTCAATGTATATTTGCAAATTAAATGTATCTCTAGGTACCGTTACGTGGAATCTCGCATTTAACTAACAACCAAAAAAGTAACGGAAACGGCAGTCCTCTGATGGAAGAGGAATGGTTTCATGGGGTATTACCGAGAGAAGAGGTCGTAAGATTACTCGTTAACGAGGGGGATTTTTTAGTACGCGAAACAATAAGAAACGAAGAGTGTCAGATAGTTTTATCTGTTTGCTGGGACGGGCACAAGCATTTTATTGTACAAACGACACCAGAGGTAAGAACATATGAGAACGAAATGCTAATAAATCTTGGTATTAGTATGAAAATATTAGAGAATTTAATTTGAATAGCTCGAAATAATCATTTATTATTGGATCGAATAGATTGCAGTAAAGAGTACGTTATTGCAGGGACACTATAGATTCGAAGGACCCACATTCCCGTCTATTCAAGAATTAATCAGGCATCAATGGGTGTCGAGCTTGCCGGTGACCAGTCGATCTGGTGCTATTCTTAAGACGCCAATTTTGCGCGAGCGGTGGGAACTTAATAACGATGATGTCATCCTTTTGGAGAAAATAGGTCGAGTGAGTAGGCTGACAAATAGCTTTCTTATGCTTTATACGCCGCGATATGATGCCAACGGTGTGATGTACAGGGAAATTTCGGAGACGTTTACAAGGCGCAACTGAAGACTTGTAAGACCGAAGTGGCCGTTAAAACATGCAAGGTAACGTTACCGGACGAGCAGAAACGCAAGTTTTTGCAAGAGGGAAGGATATTGAAGCAGTACGATCACCCGAATATAGTCAAACTTATCGGTATCTGCGTTCAAAAGCAGCCGATCATGATTGTGATGGAATTGGTGCCCGGTAAGCTGACGAGTCTCTCACTGTCATTGCGTTACGCTAACACTGTTAACATCTCTGGCTATCGTATTAAAAAATCAGCGACGTACCTGTATCCTACGATAGTCTACACGCTAATCGCTAACTCTAGGTGGTTCGTTACTTACGTATTTGCGGAAGAATGCTAGTACAATAACACAACGGGAGCAATTGCGTATGTGCAAGGATGCTGCAGCTGGTATGAGCTACTTGGAATCTAAGTATTGCATCCATAGAGATTTAGCCGCTCGCAACTGCCTCGTAGGTAAATAAATTACATGTTAAGAGGGAAAGGGGGAAGACGCTAAATTTGAACCAAACGAGCAGCGATAATTCAATAAAATATAATGTCGATTACCTTATTCCCTTAGGATATGAATGCATAGTCAAGATTTCCGACTTCGGAATGTCAAGAGAGGAGGAAGAATACATAGTTTCGGACGGTATGAAACAAATTCCCATTAAATGGACTGCACCAGAGGCTTTGAATTTCGGTAAATCACAAGTTTTCGTTTTTGCCGTATTGATGTAAAAAGAAACTGTTATTACTACTAGCGACATACGTTACGTCTTGTGTCGCAGGTAAATACACATCGCTCTGCGACGTCTGGAGTTACGGGATTCTCATATGGGAAATATTTTCTAAAGGCGGCAACCCCTACAGCGGCATGTCTAATTCACAAGCGCGCGAGAAGATAGACGCGGGTAAGAAAGATCAACGAAAAGTTAACTGTGGAGATTAATACACTTTGATTTGCACCTATTATTCTGGCAATTTATACATCAGGGTATCGAATGCCAGCTCCGGAAGGAACACCTGAAGAGATCTATCGATTAATGCTGCGATGCTGGGACTACGAGCCAGAGAAACGGCCGCATTTTGAACAAATATACACTGTGGCCGAGACATTATCGCAAGCGTATCTATAAGTATTGAAGAGTATTTTATGGCCAATAAGAAGCATAAATTGGTGCTATAGCTTCCTCACACTTATTTTGTATATTTACAAGTCATGAAACTTCGTAATAATTTATATTGAGCTTTAAAGATATGAAATGCTCACAACCAAACCGTATTTTATCTTACAAATACACATATGATATATCAAGAAAGAGTGTGGCGTAACTTTTGTTTGATCCTGATTAGATACTTCTGATGCATTGAATAAAGGGAATCTTAACTCGTGATGCCTTATAAAACAAATTCCAGTTGTTAAATCTTTTCGAGAAAACATTTTCAAGAGTGAATACCATATAAAGTTTGGAAGCCATTTGGAAAGGATTGTTCGATATATGTATAAGAAATTAAAAGCATTTTTTAAGTAAACAAGATTGAACGATGTAAAATGACAAGAATAGTCCGATGACTTATCAGATCACGGTATGTAGCAAAAAACGATTATTCTACTCTACATTATTTCGTCACGTTTTTCTTCGACATACTATGTGTATGTATATGTACGTGTGTATATATTTATCAGTATAAAACGTACTACTAATTGCCATTATATACGTCATTACAAAATCATGTCAATGTGAATGCTATTGTTTATGTTTTTAATTCGTAATGTTTAATTATTGTTGTATAAATTATTGTATTTCTCCGTCCACGTTATAATTCAATTTATTTTACAATTAATATTGTTGTCACCTACATATATATATATAATTTGTGTATATATGTATTTTTATTACGTAATCACGAATATTACGTAGCAGGTGGGCTTTATTTATTCAATTCTATCGTTATCTATGTATTCTCTTTAATATATTAAAGTGTTTCCCGGATGTACATACAATTAGCATATGTACATTAAATTTTGTAGGATTCGAATGTACTTTATATTTGTGTATTTAGTGTAAATTTTGCCATTTTTCATGAAAATCAAAAACACAGTGGAAACATCGGAGATTTGTATATAAAGTATACGATAACAATTCTACATACTTAGAATTTTTTATATTTGCAAAATTTTCAGTATATATAAAAGTACATAGGTGGTATTTAAGCAATGTATTTGTGTTATCGTATCGTATATTAATTCAGTTAATGATTTGTAGTATGGAATCTCACTGAAAAAAAAGCAAAATATCGCGAAAAGACTAATGTTGTTGACTTCCTAGTCTTCAAAGAATACCTTGGTCTTACATAAGCTATTAAAGAGGGAAAAATGGAAAATTAAGAGTCTTGCAGTATGATATCCTAACTATAAGAACTTTTCTTATTGCTTTGATGATAAGCTTATATTTTTAAATTACTGTGTAATATATAATTGTGTTGAGAATGTAAATGCATGTATCCATTTTGTAGTTTAAGTGTATAAAATTTAAACAGCTATAACGTTCAACGTTCTTCCAAAGCTAATAAGATTTCACAAGATTCTTGTAATTTAGATGTTCCGTTTCTTATTCGAGTGACACACCAATGTTACACATTGCACACAATTACAAGCAGTCTTTATGTATGTAGTTTACGTAAAACTCCACTCTGAAAAAGTCCATTTTAACATAATGTAATTCTCGTATACCATAGATAGACTGTGGCAAGCATGGTGGAGAGATGTACGCTAGATTGGTAAGCCACAGATCCGAGTTCCAATTCTAGCAAGGATTTTATTCAGTTGCCCACCTCTTAGGAGGAAGTGGTGACTCAAGGCCCTCTAGGGAAGAGAGCGGGGCGGCATCTCGTTTAATTAGGATGTGATTGACGACTTCGTGTAGACACAGTTTATTACTTGATATAATTTACGTGCAATTATATGAAAGACATTTGTTTTCGTACGTAAATACTCAATATTGATTGTATAATAAATTAATAAAGATTATATATATTAGTCTCGCGGAATTTAAAGAACTTACCACTTAACAAAACTCCAAATTATAAGTATAATTTAATGAGTTCATCACTAACAGCCGATGGTGTTAATATTCCTAAATCCGTGAACAATAGACTGATGTACTGAGGCGGAGTATAATCTACTAAGGGGTGCTCCTTTTTTAAATTCTTGTTTAAAGTACTAGATGTATACTGCAACAAAAAATTATTATGCATCTTATAGACGTGCAGAAAATATTCCTGTTATTTCTACGTTTAAGTTATAATTGATTTGAAGACTGCGTACAAAGATATACAATTTACCTTAAATTCATCAGGTAAGTCCACTTGATTTAAAGGGTAGATTCTCGCAAATTTGAAGCTTTCTGTCAATACATAAAATGGTTTTTTTACCTCTTTCGCACATATAGCCATTGTATATGTACCTATCTGTAAAAGAATCAAAACATTTATACATAAATTAAAGATTCTTAGGGTTGCCAGTAATAAATAACAGGGTTGGGAAAGTTACTTCATAAAAGTATCTAGTTACAATTTATTCGCTAAAAACTAAGTTACAGTTACTACAAAAGTAACGAATCGTTACTTTGCAGTTACTTTCTTGCAATGAAAATAAAAATATCAAATCTGCATTTGAATCGTACAGTGTCGATAAAGGCATTTATGCACAAATACAAGACTCTAATACGATCTGCGGAAGTTCCAAAAATATATAAAGTAACTATTAAATTAGTTATTAGTTATCGAAAAAATGTAACCGAGAGTTAAATTAGTTACAGATGGAGAGACAGTAACGAAGTTAGTCACAAAAAAAAAATCACTAACTTCATTACAAGTAACGAGTTACTTTCCAACCCCGATAAATAACTTCCTTATTATTATTTATACACAACTTGTAAGAGTTATATATCGCTATCGAATATACCTTATTGATTACACCACCACTTTCTGCAACACCTTCCGCTCCGACCATCACCATGTCTACGCGCTCCATCACGTATCCCACTGCGGAGTCCAGTATCACTGTACACGATATGCCCAACTTTGTTAAGCTCTGGCACATTTCTTCTCTAAAGGAAGAAGACAAAGCACACATTAAAGCTTCAAATCGCAAGAATAAAGTTATTTTATTAAAGAGTTTCACAAATACACACCCGTTATTGTCAGGCGACGTTGACGTAACATATACATTGAATATTTTATTACTCGCAGCAGCTTCCTTCATTGCTTGCAGTACTACTCTTGATTTGGAATGCGTGAGGATGGTCTGATAAAAATAACACAATGAAAGTAAAAAAATAAATAACAGAAATGTCTCAAGTGTCTTGTGTGTATCCATTCTTACCGAGCCGTCAGTAATGAAATGCGCTGCTACCTTGGCTACTTTTCCCCGCGCTGCAACTAATTTCTCATAGAACACTTTGCCTCTTTCCAGCATGATTCCTTTGCACTTTGCAATTGACTAAATAATCATATCAACATTAAATCTTCAAAGCTAAATTCTAACAGAATTTGAACGTTAGGACCCAAGCAGAATGGCTGTCTTGTACGCTTAAGACACAAGACAGTTATTGTGCGTTACCTCAAGCCAAAGGCTTAAAACATAAAACATTGTCTTAAAGCTGTCTTAAGACAGCCATTCTGCTCAAGCCCTCGGTATTCTTACCTGTGTATCTAGTGTTGCTAATGTGATAAAACGTAGGAACAATTCACTTCCCGAGGCAATTGCGGTAACTGGAGTTTCCGTGCAGCGCATCGCGTTGATTGCATCTTGCAAGCAAATCTGAAGCTCTTGAACTGTCTCTGCTACAAAGCAAAAGAGCAAATGAGAGATAGCTCTAGTGGGGGGGGGAGTATAGATTTAATATTTTCTTGTAATAGTTGGAAAGCTCATATGTATGTACATGTAGGCATTGATGACACTTACATTTAGAATGCTTCAATACTTGCAATAAAGTACGAATAGCAGCCATACCGGCCGAAACTTCCTTCTCATTTTTAACAATGCTATTGAAGTATTGGCATATTTCTGCAAACATTCGTTTAAGATGTTACTTTATATATCATTTTACGTAACCATGATTACGGTACAAGTGTTTTATGTTGATTCCATATACCTTCTCTGTCAGAGGAGGAATGCAAGGCAGAGGAAGGAGACAGCAATACATATCTCTGCAAAGCTGCGGTTTGAAGGAAGGAAGGAGGAAACGCAGGACACAAAGAGGATACAAAAGGAATACACGAGGACCACTCTACAGAATCGGTGAACGACGTCTTGGCAGGGGAGCTGACGACGCGTCCGACGAGAGGAAAGGAGGAATAGAAACAGGTACCAAGAGGCGAACGGAGGTAGGAATAAGAAAAGGACAAGGAAGACAGAGAAAAAACAGAGAATTAGAATTAAAATAAGAACGAAATTAGGATGAGTTAAATTAGATAAGAGAAGAGTAGGTTTATACCAAGGTAAGGAACAGAACAGGTGCGGAGGAATGAATGACAGTGAACGAGTGATAAGGTTAAGACCGTAAACCAAGTCCCACCTCTTAGCATGTAAGCTGAAGCGAGATAAAGATTTGATTGATTTGAAATACCTTCTGTGTCCATTATGACTTGTTATTTCTACACACAACTGGTCACATCAATGAGGGGCGTTCGATTAAAAAATTAACGCTATTAATCTGTGGTATTGCATCAGATATCACGTTGTTGTATCAACAGTTGTGCCACATGTCGAACGTCCATTTTACCTTATGGGGGATTCATACTGCAACGACATCTGGGGCGATCTGCAGGTCTGTTCACATCGCGTGCTCCTCGAATGTCCGGCATGATGTGAGCCCGCCATAAGAGAATTCTTCCTAACCTCAATTTTAACATAATCTTGTCCGCTCGCAAAATAAAAACCGTGGGATGGTGTCTTAACCAAATTGAAAATCGATCGTCAAAGGTGTTAAAACGCTCGGTGTACCTTAATGTATGGCCTTTAATTAGGAACGACACGATGGAGGAAAAGACGGGCCGTCTCGAGGAAACTGGCGTCAACGATGTCGACGTGGAGTCAAAAGTAGGTCGACGTTCGTTCAAGTGCTTAAAATGTTTCAGTCTATTCCGTGGTTCTATGTGAAATGGATACGTTCGCAGGCAATGCTAAAGAAAAAATTGCAAATGAAGTCGGAAGCGCTCATGTGGCTGAGCCAGGAGATGGACGAGTGTAGGACACAACGGGATCAGTTCAAGCTGATGGCCGAGCAAGTTCAGGAAAGGTTTCTGTATCTGAAGAAGCAGATGTGCGATATGAAGGAATTAAACAGGTATCTGATTCAGGCCTGCAATTACGTCAGAACTGTGTTCTATGATTCTTTCCTTTGCTCGAGCACTAAACATGTTTTTTTTTACAGGTGTTACAGTTTGGACGACGATTTTAGAACCTTCGATCTCCTGACAGAAGCACGAGAGCAAAACAAGTGCCTCAGGCTACAGGTCGAAACGTTGAGGCAGAAGCTAGGGGATGCTGAGGATGACATCAAGGTGTTACGTGTGAATAACAGTCGTATACCAGTTGAACAGCAAGAAATTCAATTAGCGCCAGCCATGCACCAAAGGGAAGAAATGATAGAACAGTTAGAGAAGCTAAATTTAAAGGTAAACATAAGGAAAATTGGATGTAGAATTTCTTGTCTGTTATTGATTTATCTTCTGCTTACCATTAGTCATTAATTCTTTGCGTCAGTTTATATTTCAAGATGGTATTACTACTTAATGAGATTGGTTTCTGCTGTAGTGTTCACAGTTGCAAACGGATCTACAAATGGTATTAGATGAGAAACACGAGCTGGAGATGGAAAGGGATGCCTTTAAATGTAAGGCGCATCGTTTGAATCATGAGCTGTCTAAAGCTTTAAGCGCTACCAAACCAGTTGATTTGGATGCCTTAATAAATGAAAATAGGTAATAAAAAATATGTAATTGCAGTCTTTAGGTAATTATAATTTATTTAATTTTTTTTATATTCCAAATGTTTTAGATATCTGCAAGAAAGGTTGCAGCAATTGCTCGAGGAGAAAGAATTGACGCGACAATCTCTGTCAAAGTACAAGGTAGATTGACAGTAAATGAAAGATTATTACGCATTTCTCTAATTTGTTACTGTTTCCGATATTAGGCAATTAATTATTTTTTCTATAGAGTATGTTGGACAGTAAAAGGGCAAAAGGGGCTATCAAGTTGGGGGCAAATTCTGCGGCTGGAACAGTGATGACTCACAAACAAGGTGAAATACATTGACACACACATGAAGATTTATTTATCATTAATCGCCTTTCACAAAAAAGGAATATAATTTTTTTTCATTTTTAGTCGAACAACTTCTTCAAGAAAGTTCTTATATACCACCTCAGAAGTCTGCTGCTGCCGTTACAGATCTACGGTGCCTTTGCACTGCCTTACTGGAGGCTTTAAATGACAAAACTTTAGCTCTGGCGCATCAGAAGAAAGCGAACAAGTAAATGGTTCAACATTAGTTGCATTGATACACGTGTGCTCCTAGATTCATATATACACGTTGAATTGCAGAATATTAGCATTGAGAATTTGTGAATTGGATAGCGCTGTACAGTCACCAACCACGAAGCTCTTGGAGGGATACACAAGCGCCAATGTTGATTTGAGATGTACGTATAACCAGATAATTGTAATTGCTATTGAGTTAATTGTAGCAGATCTATTATACCGCTGTCACCTTTACTTTTTGTAGGTGATAGCGATTTCAACGATTTAGATCCTACAACTAATGGCGGTATAGATAATATCGAGGAAAACAATATCATAACAAATGAGAACAGCGTACAATGTAACTCTTCGCCCGAAAGTCAAGTTATGCAACAATTACAGTCGATACAAATGAGTCTTCCAAAGAACTTGGGAGTATTAGTTCAAAAGGCATTAAATAATTTAAAGGATAACGATAAACAGAAGATATGAAATTAAAAATATGTTACAGAGAATACATGTATACTGTATATGTGCCTGCGTACATATATAATGTATATATAGAAAGTAGGTTTAAATAGGATGGAGTATTCTAATGGACAGTAATTAGTCGCTGCATTGATTTTTTTTAAATCTAGTCACCATACGTTATATTTGTTTATCACAAATTCAATTAGCGAGTTAATTGGTTTATCACATAAATTAACAATGTAAAGTGCTAGTCAATATCTTTATCAAATCAGTGTTTAATATTTAATAACCTGAAAGTTTTGATAGAGATGATTTTACCAAACGATGAAGGACGATTTGTTATACAACGTCTGTTGTAACAATTAGTTGGACATATCATTTATGTATGGCACGTAGTTGCAGCACCATAATATGTAGGTTGGCAGTAGAATGAGCGTACTAAATGACGACGTTCTCGTAAATATTTTTGGTGCAAGACATTGTTCAGCTGATCTAACCACGAGTCGAATTGCGAACTAGATCTGTCCGTAAACATCAATGGCCCCACCGATCTTTTTAGTTGACGATAAGGTACGACATTTTCCCTATAAATATGTATACATATATTGTTATTGTTAAATATATAGATCACATTCCAAACATGTTATTTTGCATTTAATATATACGTTGTTATTAATTGCGCTTCTTTCAGCGTCATATCCTTCTGTTTTTTCCAAACAGTGAACGTCTTGTTGATAATGCGTCTCTCATCCGTTTGTTTCTGCAGAGTTTCAATGTTCATTTGTTGAGTCGTTTGCGGTTTAATGGATAATTTCCTTCTTTGTTGGATTTCTTTTATTATCTGCCCATATACCCGAAGGGCACATTAAAGATACTTAAGAGATATCAGAATTAATTAATAACTTTTTATAAAAATATACTCACTTCCTGTGAAACTCTTTTGCATTCAATGTCCTTCAATTTCTTTTGTAATTCATGTTGCTTCTTTTCCTCCGCTTCTCTCAACAATTTTCTGTACACCAGATTTTTTCCCCTCTTCCAAGATTCGAAAGATAATTTTCTCTTTACTTGCTTGACCAATTTCCTAAGTAATATAAATTTCTCTTTACATATCGAGCATTTAAAATTGTGTGACAACTGAAAATTTCTATTACATATAACAACCCTTTATTTTGGTTCCTATTTTGATCAATAACATTGCTTTCTAGCCTTGTCCTAATTTTGGCTTTCTGTGTTGGATTATGCCAGACTTCGATTAGACTGGATGCGTTATTATTATTAATCATATGTTTTTGATCTTCAGAAATTTCTGAACAAGTTTTCTCGCTGTATTTGGTACATACATTTGCCTATGAATATGAAGTGAAATTTATTATTTCACACTCAGTTGGAAGATATAATTGATAGTTCACTAATAGAATAAAATAGAATAAATAGAAAATAATACTACTTCAACTGATTTGTTGCACATAATAGGTATATCTTGTGCACTACATTTATCATGTTTAATTATTTTGATGTCTGGATCTTGTTTCATCATATATTTTATTTCGCACGAAGTATCTATCGAGTTATCTCTGTTCGATATATTTTTTGCTAAATTGCTTGAGGGATGCAATATCTCCTGTGAAAATTTTATTTATCTTTCATATTATTTTTATATACAGGGTGAG